AATAGAATAAATAAAATGAATACCTTGACCATTGATTAAACTCATTAGCAGCTTCAACTAACAGTTTATCACATCCTCCTGGTTTACACATACCCTTTATAATGAAACTTGCTGAATTTTTAATTAAATATGCGTTTGTAAATAGCAATAGCATAATATAAGCAATTATTGAACTATTTTATTCAATGAAAATTTTACCAGGAAGAATGAGAGAAATCACCAAGTACCTAAAGTATTTTTTGAATATGCGCACATACAAATAAAATGGGTAATCAAACGTTGAAATATTTTAACATAATTTCCAAGATCAACTTTTATAATATATAGTCAAAAAACAAATATCTTACACAATATCTGAAGTTGTCGGGTTTATACCATAAACAGTGATTTCTGAGAAAATTATCAATTTTGCATATTCTTTGAAACAAAGGTTTGGTTAATTAATAACCGATGTAATAGACGCGTATTCTAAAATAAATTAAACTTACGTAAACACGGGCAAAGGAAAGACAATGCCAGTAATGGTATACCCAAACATATTCTCAAATAGTTTTTTGTTTTTTCTCGATTCATGATGGCCGGAACAAACAAAGCATGTTCGTAGAAAAAAAAATTTTTTTATAAATATAAGGAATGGTGTATATAAAATTCCTTATTGGACTTGTTAACGAACCATATGTAAATGTAAATTTGTAATTCTTGAATAATGATAAAAGAAATGGAATTATAGAGATTTGTAAATAGATTTGCAAATAGATTTGTAAATAGATTTGTAAATAGAGTTGTAAATAAATTTGTAAGTAGATTTGTAAGTAGATTTGTAAATGGTTGTCTATTACTAATGCTCATCGCCTCAACTTAGCCCAAGTAAAAGAAGTTCATTCAATTGTTTGTTTGTTTTATAAGTTTCGCCGAGCCACAGTAAAATATTTGAGTATGAACAAGGATGAACCAGTAAAAGTATTTGAGTATCACCATTAAAAATATTTGAGTATCGGTACGAACAAGGATGAACAAGAACAATCGCAATGCATAGAAGAAACACGTGAATCGATTAAATTGAATCGATTAAATTGAATCGATTCAATAGTAATAGAATCGATTCAATGGAATCGGATCAATAGAATAGAATCGATTCAATGGAATCTTGAGATTTTTTTGTTTGTTTAAAAAATAAATTTATCATTAAATGTATTATTAATCTATATTTTCTACCTTTCGATTCATAACGAAAAACACGAGATTTCAAATTCATATTAAACATCTGCGGAACGTTCCTCACCATAGAACTCAACGTTCGCGAAATCAGGCTTTACACAATCTTTAATTCTCCATAAAATAGCAAAAGCGATAAATAACCACATACAAATTGTATTTGCTATATAAATCTGACAAGATGTTTGATTTGATTTTTTGGAGCATAATATTTGATCGCATGAGGATATCGAGTAGAGTACTAATATATAAAGGATATTTATATAAAGATGATGTGAGTCATTACTTAAATTATAATAATATATTATCAAAAATTTTCACTTACTCGCTGTGAATATCCAAAGAACAATTAAATAACTGTTTAAAGGATATGTTTTTTAATAAATTTTAATAAATTAATTTAGATGTATTGGTAACAAATAAATGGCTTTTACTTTAGATTCAAAGATGGAAATTACTTCGCCAACATTGATAACTTTATTGTTATCATTACAGAAATTCGCCGATGAGTTAAACGTTCACCACAACCGAATGATCCTTGCAAGATTAGATAAGCTAATCGAAAACAAACCAAATTTAAACCGTTAAAAAAAATTATCAACCATTTTACATACTACATACTATAGTTCTTTACCTGGAAGGACAAGTGAAACGGCAAAATATCTATCGTTTTTATTTTTTTCGGTTTAAAGATGTATATATATTTATACATATATTTATAAAATTATTTTTTTTATAATAACTCACGCAAACCATTCAAAGAAGCCTTACATTATTTCAACATAGCTTACTGTTGTATGATCATATATACTTAAAAGAAGGATTATTATTGTGTATTCTTTATTATTCAAGTAATAATAATTATTATTTAATTAGTAAGATAACCATACATTAATAAGAATTTAAAACATTAACTTACGCAAACAAGGGCATAGAAAAGCTAAAATTAATATTGGTATTCCTAAACATAAACGTATCCAGAAATCTTTTTGTTGCATTGAAATCATCGTTTAATTTAAGGAGGAAGAAGTCAGAAATTGTTTAAATATATATATATACATATGTATGTACGTATGTATGTATGTAAAATTTTGCAAAACTTGTTAAAACGTAGAAATCATACAACCACTCTGCTTTTTTTTATTATAAAAAAGAAAAATAAACAGAGTTTCTGAATTACGATCTCTGCCTATTCTTATTTCATAATTCGAATCTCTATCAAGAAAAACATAATTCCTTATTCATTCATTCAAATGATCCAAGCCATCATAATATCGATACTGCTGAGCACTTATTGTTATGACCAAACAAGACAATAAATGCTTTATATTTCTTTTTTTTTTCTATTCACAGCCTCGACAAAGTATCAACAACAAACAGAAGGGCTCGGGTCAATCTTCTTGAAGTTGTTATTTACCTAATTACCTATAATTTCATGTATCAATATCCTAAACTCTCTTGTATGACTCGATAAACATGTGACAGAATAGTCTTTTAACTACTCTAGGTCTACATAATTAATAAGTGATCACTTATTGGAAAATGCAAAGGTTCTAATCTTTATTATCCATTTGTTGCATTTGTTACATTTGTTATTAACGATAGCGATAATTAACGTTAATTGATTTTAAGTTATCCAATAACGATAAGAGAAAATGATTTAACCATATATATTTGATTAAACTATAACGATAACGATAGGGTTGAGTAACTTTCCCAAGTTATTTTAATTGAAGCAAGATTCATGTAACTTATGTAAGTTAATTTGTTAAATAAATAAAAACAATAAACTTATTTCGAAATAAATCGGATATTACCCGAAAAAATCTAAACCATCTTTGTTAGTAATATTAAATATATTTTATTTAGACTACCAAAAACTTATTGTACAGTATATGCAGTCAATTCTCTCTGAGTGCAACTTCTCTAAGCATAGCCTCTCTATTTTTCTTAATTGTTCTATTAATGTATGTTGTTAAAAGTCTGGTTCCAAATGAATTATATTTGAAATTAGTATTTAAAAAAAAATACTATAGAAAAAGATATTGTGCAATTTTTGTTAGTAATTTTTTAGTAATTTGTTAGTTTGTTAGTAGTTTATTAGTAGTTTGTTAGAGATTTGTTAGTGATTATTAAAAATCAAATTAAAATACTGTATATAAAATAAATTATATAAATCTGGGTTTTTATTTAAGCTCTCAAAATCTACTTATACTTTCTTAACCAAACCTCTAAAAAATGCATTTTAAAAAAGTTTATCAGACCTAATTCATTTAACCTGTCACTAACTATAATATATATATACTGTAAAAGAGAATAATATTGACAATAGAGAAAATAGAATCTAACATGATACTGTAGGTAAAAGAAAGCATATATATACAGTACTTGACATATCTTTAAAGTACTGGGTACAATGCAAAAAAATATTTTTATACTGTACAAGTGACACTTTAAATGATATTTTACAGTACTGCAGTAACGGTAACTTGAAATTAGAGTTCGCATGGCACCGTCCATGGACTCAAAATGGCCTGCTGATATTTAAAATATATTTAAAATTTGCCGCCGACTTAACTTTAATCTCAAAAGATCAATTTAAATCAATGGGGGCTGGCCCATGCGGAACTTTACTTGTAATACAAATTATCTTAAAAATTTGTGCCAGAATTGATAAGACTGCAGACATTTGTATAACAAAACTTAAATAGACTCAATCACTTAACGTTAACTTTTTTACTAACGACTATTTACTATATACGTACTATATAACAATTAATAAACTTTATAACTAATTTATATCGATATGTATTTTAAACTTTATTAAATGAACAAAGTTAATCATACCATATTCACTGTATACAAGACCCGGGTCTCTTACCAATTTTAACATCTATCCAGTATCGGTATGAATACTGATACACGTTTTATATTTATAATAGGCAGTCTAGACATATTTGAAAAAAACTAGATTTTTATTAAATATAGATCTCGTAGTTCGCATCCGGCTATACTGTAGAGATGTTAAAACCGTTTTACCGTTACTATATACTTTGAAAATCAAATATATCAAATTACTAGAACTAGTTCAGTTTATATGGTAAAATCTAACCAGTTTAACATCTCTAGGCATACTACATAGTTAACTAACGCAGGGGAATTTAAAGTTGGTGTTGGCCAAGTTTGTACGCACTGTTCATGTTGTATACGTGTAAGTGATCAAGATTAGATAATCTAATATTTGAATTTGGTAAGCGAATATGTGATGCATAAAGACGTACAGTACGTGACGGTAATATAAAAGGAAAGATAATAAAGTGGTAAAATTTTAAATTTCTTGTGGTCAATCATGTATATTCACCGTAGTACAATAACCAAAAAAATCAAATGTTATTATAATTATTATAATCACGTACAAGTATCGCACGTATCAGTATGTACATACGTCGTACGTACGTACCGGTACGCACTCACGCAAGCCTTTGAGTTTGCCAAATTTTCTAGGATTCATTCCGAAAAGGTAAAGTGGCAGTAAAGATAAGGCAGATCTTTAGTATTTTCGAATTTTCGAATTTATCGTTACGTACGTACATACGTATGAAAATTTAAAATATAAATGTACTTAGAAATATACTATACAAGCAAAAGTTAATAAAGTAATTACGGAAAGTTTATCTATGTAGAATTTATATAACTTTTACGTTTGATTTTTGTTTGATTTTAGATTGGAATAGTTTAATTGAGTTCTTTTATGAGTTCTTTTATGAGTTCTTTTATGAGTTCATTTATGAGTTCTTTTTAGTTTCTTTTAGTTTTTTAAGAGAATTCTCTATGGATCCAGCCGGGCAATTCTCTGAAGAGTAATTAATAATGAAATCTCCTTCTTTCCAATCTTCAGGTGACGAGTTAAGTGGATACTCTTCATGACTTAGTAACAACATCTGTTAAAGTTATTAAAATGATAAAAGGTAATAATAGTTATTAAATAAATATATATATATTAAACCAAATATTAAAATATATAATGGATATTAAAATAAATAAGTATATATATATTATTAAAATAAATATTAAAATAAACGTACGCGTTGTTTAAAATCGGGAAATTCTTCTAAAAGCGTCAACCTTAGCATCTCCAACTATTCTATTTCCAAC